TCTCTTTCTACCATTAATCCCTCAGTTTCTCTTAAAGATGTGTATCAACATACATTGACAATATATTGAACCAATCATCTTGGATTTGGTTAAGGAACCCTCGAAAAACAAAATAGCATTCCCTATAGATTACCCAAAACCGTGGATTTCCATTGAGCAAAAACATGTTCAACAAATGTTCACAGCTATGGCCCTTTACCAGTTCTAAGTAGTAGCAGTCACCCCATTTATAGAATGTCTTTGTAATCCCATTTATAATATTTTTATAACCAGTTAAAACTGATAGCCATGGCCATAACTGCAATGAATCAAACATGGTCCAAATTGGTAATTCAAAAGTCTGGATGAAGGGTTTTCTACCTTCTCAATGGTATGTGCCTGTCTCAACCCTCCTCCCTGTATCAAAGGTGATTTCTTTTTCCCCTCCTCAAAGGTCCTGGTTTCCCAACCGTATTCCTGGAAAACTTTCCCATGTTCGAAGGATTTCTCAAGGCCAAGTGTTTTCCCACAGTGAAGGTTCGCGCTCAAGGCTGCCAAAAAAATAAAAAATAAAATAAAATCCCGGAGACAAACCCATACCCCGGGGAAGAACACTTGCGACCGAACATTGCAAATATGCATAAAACATGCTATGTGTTTTTCTCAATGGTATGTGCCCGTCTTAATTTTTTTAAAATTTTTATTTTTATTTTTTCTCCCCGGAGGTCCCGGAGAGGAACCCTTGGAATTTCTTCCCCCGGAGGTCCCGTAGAGGAACCCTTGAAACCCTTTTGCTCGTTTTTTTCTCTTCGTCGTCTTTCGTCGTCCGTCGTGTTTTAATGGGGATCCTTGAGACAGACACTTGACCTGAACAAGACCACAAACGAGAAAGTACCTTGGCGCAGACCTTCGAGTAATGAACAAAACCTTCGGGAAATCTAGATTTAACGAGCAGAATGGCCATGGCCATGGTCCTGCCATGCAGCATCCAAAGTGAGATGGCCTCTGTGACAGGGATGAAGTTGAAACTCGTTCCCGGCGATGGGGGCAGTTGGGGGGCGAAGAGCATCATCATCCTGACGCCGTAGGTGCCACGCCGGAAAATCTGGGATCAAATGAAGAAAATTGATGTGGGAACCAAGAATTGGGAGTTAACCATAAATTTTAAGTCAGGATATTTTTGGAAACTTGGATTTAACCAACAGAAATGGTGGAAAACGGGGATTCAAGTAGCAGCAAATGAAGGAATTCATGATATAAATTTGGATTTCATTAATCCATTGCTGCAGTATAGTTCATGGGATCAAAACAAAGATTGCGGACGAAACCAACAAAAGTGGATATATTGGAGGTTGAAGCGGGAATTTCAGATATTGCGGATATTTGTGGATAATGGAACTGATTTACAATAGAATCGAAACACACACACATATTATAATAAAATAATATAAAATGCTGTAACTTTCTTGCAGTGGCTTATGGTATCTTCTTGTAAGGACCTTATTGGAACATTATGGGGCCTACCAAAACCCCATGGAAACCCTACACAAACCCTACACAAACCCTTTGTTTTTCCCTCAGTTTGCCTAGGGTTTGCGTGGGTCTTTGATGGGAGTTGATGATATTTGTTATTGGCAGGCCACAGCCGTTGTAGATCAAGGCCCTCCATCGGCTTAGTTAGTGGGGCCATAATTACCAACCAGAAAAGGAACTGGTGTTCCTAGAAGGTGTTCCTAAAGGGGACTATGTTCGCCGCCATCAGGCCTTTTTCCAATTTCCTGGTGCCATTCATGGGCATAGCATGGGGGTTTGGTAGGGGTTTGGTAGGGGTTTGATGGTGGTTTGATGGGGTTGAGCCTGAATCTGGGAATGGTGTGGGGGTTTTGTGGGGGTTTGGTGGGGGTTTGGTGGAGGTTTGGTGGGGGTTTGGTAGTGGTATTTGAAACAGGACAAGAACAATGCTATTTGCAGCAGCCCAAATCTGGGAATAGCATGGGGGTTCGGTGGGGGTTTGGTGGGGGTTTGGTGGGGGTTTGGTGATGTTTGGTGGGGGTTTGGTGATGTTTGGTGGGGGTTTGGGGGGATTTGGTAATGGTATTTGAAAGAGAACAAGAGCAATGCCATTTGCAGCAGTCAGCAACCCAAACCTGGGCATGGCATGGGTATGGATATAGTAGGGCTAAAAGGTTAGAACGGTTAGTATTTTGAGTCTAAGAATGATTGTTTCCAGCTAATGGCTGCAGCTCCTTGGGAATGTTACGGGGTTTTAGTTGGGTTCTTGTGGGGGTCTTGTGGGGGTCTCAGGTGTTGGCTGGGAATCTTCAGGGGTTCCTATGGGATGATCATGGGGCCTTCAAAACTCCAGCGAGGCCTCTACGGAAAGCGCCCCTAATCCACCCTATGAAACTTAAATCTTACCCTCGCCCAAAACTAACATAGACCCTACCATATGGTGATTAGTTGCAGTCTATGTTAATTTGGGGGGATGGTGTGTACTACAGTTTTTTTTTGGAGGTTGTGGGGAGAAAATGGTGTAAACTCCAAAAACATTTTATTATAGAGCCCTACTTGATGATCGGATCGGAAGTTCCACCCAAGACCAATATAGCCAGATCTGAAAACATGGAGGTAGCTGTTGGCCCTTCCATGAATCAGTCGGGAGAGGACATCCCTTCATGAATCATCCCATAGAATCCTGTGGGTTGCCATCCGTTGCCCAGAACTTACGACCATTGGTTGGTGGTTTTTCCCTACCATGAAGGTTGGTTTTATATACAACGTTAATATTAATGGTTATTATATGGTTAATGATTGTTAATGATGGTTAATAATAACCTGGTTGGTGGTTGACCTACCCCTCTGAAAATAGTCAGTTGGGAAGTTGGGATGTTATTCCATTCCCAATATATTAATATGGAAAGTCATAAAATCCCATGGTTCCAAACCACCAACCAGTTCCATTAATCTAACTGTTTCTTTTCACCGACTTCCTAAGTGGGGCCCGTCCCACGCCAAGGCTCGGCTGCACCGGCACAGCTTGCACGGCTTGCACGGCTTGAAGCACGGGGAGCCGCTGCGCATCTCGGCGTGCCAAGACGGAAATGGGAGCGGATGTGCTGAGATAGGTGATTATATATATATATACACATAGATACATACAGTACTATGCCCAACCTTGGATGGATAGTTTCAAATATACACTTGTTTTTAGTTTATTGCGAAAAAATGGAAAATTACTTTACTTCGTGTGATCCCCACCATGACATTTATACATTTTGTTACTGGCAAATCTTCTGGCATTCTATCTGACATTTTATCTGGCATTCTATCTGGCATAGCTTCTGCAGTATGTTCTGGCATATCTTCTGGCATTCTATCTGGCATATGTTCTGGCATATCTTCTGGCACTCTATCTGGCATTCTATCTGGCATATCTTCTGGCATATTATCTGGCAAATCTTCTGGCATCCTATCTGGCAAACATTCTGGCACTTTATCTGGCATACCTTCTGACATTCTATCTGACATTTTATCTGGCATTCTATCTGGCATATCTTCTGACCTTCTATCTGACATATCTTCTGACATTCTTTCTGGCATATCTTCTGACATTCTGTCTGGCATATCATATCTTCTGACATTCTATCTGACATCTTTTCTGACATTCTTCATTTGCTCGGACAACTTGTCTGACATTCTTTCTAACTTTCTTCTGCACATTCTTTGTCCCATATCTTCCTACATGAGGTCCGGCAGGGAACACTTGGCGTGGATACTCGCGGTTGAGGTCCGGCAGGGAACACTGGGCGTGGATGGTCGTGGTTGAGGTCCGGCAGGGAACACTAGTGAGGTCCGGCAGGGAACACTGGGCGTGGATGGTCGTGGTTGAGGTCCGGCAGGGCACACTGAGCGTGGATGGTCGTGATTGAGGTCCGGCAGGGCACACTGAGCGTGGATCGCGGTTGAGCAGGAGGAGGAGGAGGAGGAGGAGAGGAGAGGAGGAGACGAGGAGAGGAGAGGAGGAGCAGGCAACTAACATAAAATCTAACAACCCTCACCTGGCAGGTGGGGAACAACCGTAACCAGCAAGAAATGACTTGTTTTTTTTTAATATGGACTACCAAAGATTGACCATGATACAAGGTGGTGCTAGCAAATAGTCGGCTAAGTTGGCTTATAACTCCAATTGAGGATTTGACTAGGGTTTGTGGTATATGGATATAGTTATACTTACTATGGACTACGGTTAAAAACCAACCTATAACTGGGGGTTGGTAACCACCTTGTAGTAACCAACCTCCAGAAAAATGCCGAAACATGGATCAACTACAGAACTGTTTTCATGGGGATTTACTTTTTTTGGGGGGATGACTATATGTATGTATCATTATACATCATCTCTTTAGATACGAGTATCTATTCATAAAAAAAACAAAAACATGCGGGGTGTATATTTGGGGTCATACCAAAATTTGTCCTCGATAATTTGCTTGAATCTAGGCTATTTGGTGTATAAATGTCAAAGAATCGAAGGGGATAGTGGATGTAGTCCTGTAAGTATGGATATGTATCATTATGTATATATATATATATGGATACAGTATATAGATTCTAATATAGATAGATCTTATGACTGTACCTTTGAGAAGCAACTGTGTGTATTGTTCTTTATCAAATTGGGAGAGAGAAATACAAGATTTGCGGAGATAGATACTCACATAGATGGGAATATAGCCCCAACTTTCATGGATATGCAAAGTAAAGAAACATTTCCTTACTGGAACCCAGGATTGATAACAGGCTGGTTCATGAATATGGGGTATATCTCTCCAACATTGTAATTTTCATCACCCCCAATAGGGCTACTGTATGATTCATCACAGCTTCAGACTTGTCATTTTGGCATCAACCGTCTCTTTTATATAATCAGGGTCCTGATTTTTAGAATCACCTCGCAACATCAATATATCTATATATATGTGGATGGAGAGAGAGAGAGAGAGAGAGAGACGTGTGATTTACTACACTGTACTACACAGACGTTGCCTCCATCCTACTCTTCCGCATTTCCGCGCACTGAATGACGCCCAGGGGCTCATGACAGTGGGTTGGCACGGCACATATCCGGTCATTCCTTGACCTGCTCAGTGATCAGTTGAACAACAACACCTGTGCCGACTCATTGGATTGTTTTGAGGGAAAATCTACAGGAAAACATATGGTTTTTACCATGAAATATAGGGGGGTTCCGGTTTCGATTTTCCCTTAAACCAATCCAATGAGCCATTGTAGCTAGAAATATCTATTTAGTTCGGGGATTTCCCAGCCAGCCACGTTTGATTACCGGAGGGTATCACATTGAATATCCAATGTTCAGCATTATCAAACTACTATGAATCCATGATTTTCAACCAATACTCACCAGCTTTGTCCCATTAAATCGTATGAATAAACACCCTATATTTATAGGATTTTATAGGTTACATACCCATGAATTGCTCATATTTTCCATGTTTTTTTCCACGCGTTCCAAGGATTTTCCCCTTCGAAAAAAACGGGTGACCAACTTCCCAGTGCCCGGCACCTTGGTCGGAAGGCGACATCGCCTGCCGTGGAGATAACCATCCATGAAGTAGATGATCTGCCCTATGGTTATTTAACATAGCCATGGTATAGATGGCCCATAGAAATAGATGGTTTACCTATTCACAATGGTGATTTTCCATGGCTATGTTAAATAACCAGAGGGTATATTGATTGACCATGAGATTCCTATTGAACCTATTAAACATTGCACATGGTGATGTTCCAGTTTGCTACGTTAACCAGTTAGGATAGATGAATCCCATTTTATTTCACGTTCAAATCCAGATGCTTTGTGGGTAAAATCATGTGAAATCGAAGTGTTTCAACAGTTCAGCAGTCTACTTTTTTTAGTGTTCAAATTATCCCAAATCCACATCTTGGCGTATCAAATCCTAATGTTTCTTAGGTTTCCTTCTAGTTTATGTCCTTTCAATCCCAGAATTCATATAATTAACAGAGTTCAAATCCATCTCCGAATGTATCAACCCCAGCTAATATCTGTGTATATCTGGGTAAAATTAAAAAAAAACAATCACTCACCTGAAACTTGCCATTTGGGGAATGATTCCCCAGAAGGCTTCGGTCACCAGGCTTCGGTCGGTGTCGCTACCTCCGGCGGTGTTGCCATAGCTGGAGCCCCTGGAGCCCCTGGAGCCCTGGCCACTGGAGCCATGGGAGGCGCCGGTTGAGGCTCCTGGAGCAGTTGCTGGTGGGCAATTCACTGTGGGAGACATAAAATACACACAGCATGCGCTGTAAAGTTCACACAGTTCACCAAGAAAAACCCACCGAAATAGGGCAATTTACCCTAGATCATATCTACGCACACGCACACACACACACACTTGAAAGACCGCTTGTCGTCGATGGTTTTATTGAGAGCTCTTTTCCTTTCCTCTTCTTCTCTTCTCCTCTTCTCCTCTTCTCCTCTTCTCCTCTTCTCCTCTTCTCCTTTCTCCTTTCCCTCCTCTTTTCCCTTTCCTCTTCTCCTCTTCTCCTTGCTCCTTTCCCTCCTCCTTTCCCTTTTCTTTTCCCTTTCTCCTTTGTACTTTCCGTCCTCCTTTCCCTTTACAAATGGAACGCCGTGGTAACCTATAGATGGCGCAATCCAAAGTTATGGTTTCCCCCCCAAAAAAAGAACCCCAGATCTTAATACTAAGTTTGAACTAAACTAGAGGAAAACAGGTTGTTGTCAACCACATGTGTTGGGAACCTATAGATGGCGCAAAACATCCCATCTCCCAAGTGGTCTATAGATGGCGCATTTCAAAAATTTGCGCCATCCATGTTCTGCCCGGAATAAATAAATAAAAAAATGAATATATATATATATATATATATATCAGTCGTATCAGCAATGCAAAGGGTGTTTTCTTCAAATTCCAGGATACCTTTTGATACGGCCATCTATAAGAATTAAGATACCTTTCGGAACCGTTTAAGGTTGTTATGCATTGGTTTAAGACATGCCATCTATTCATCAGATTTGCCCATGGTTCATCAGAAAGACTGCCCCATAAGTGGATGGCTCTTTTTTGGGGACACAGATCTATGTTCAAACAGACTCAAATATCATATCAAGATATATTGAGTTGGTTATGTGCTGTTTTATTTTTGAACTAAAATATCAGACTTTCAACTGTTTCAACTTTCAACTGTATTTTTCCTTACCCCCAAAATTAATCAAGTCTTCAATTTTCCCAGTTGGAAATATCATACCCCATGACTATCCCCATTTGAATCCAATGATTATCCCGTCATTGCCAGTTAAATAACCCCATGATTGTCAATGATTGTTGGTACAATATCCGCATCATTCACCAATTGTTACACATCAGAAAATGATGATTTGCACAATAACGATTCATTTTCCCAACGATCTGAAGTAAAATCATCTAAATATATATATATACAAATCCCATTATAGGAATCAAATCCCATAAACAAACTCATTAAGTCACCAAAATCCCAATTGTTTTGTCGGATCAATCATCCTCAAACCCGTTTGATCGATCTGAAGCGCTTTCCGATCTCCGATCTCCTGAGCAGACAGGTGTTTCTCCATGCTCTTCCCCGTCATTTTCAGCCACACCTGACGGAAAAAGTTTGTATCGGTGGCCATGTTGGGACACCTTCCCGACAAAAAGTGCGGATATTTCTTCAAGTAAAAACTTTTAGATATGCAAGCTTACTTAACATCACTTATAGGTCTATGATTTACCGCACAATGTTTTTTATGTACACTTATTATATCTTATGATCACTTATTTAGATGTACTCTCTGAAAATCAAACATTGCAATTGAAAACCCTGTGTGTCGTTGATTTTTCCAGCTAGAACCTCCATTTATAGAGATTTTCCGTTGTGATGTTGGTTACCGGAGGGTACCAGTATAATATACAATGTATGTATAGTACACAAATACACCACATTCCCAGCTATTTATGGATGATCGTCCTGGTTGGGAAGCTGTAACCGGACACTGGGCGTGTTACCCACTTAAACTCGGACGTACTGACATTTACAAACCATGGTTAACAACTTGTTGGTGGTGCAATAACCATCTTGAAAAATGATGGACTTCGTCAATGGGTTTCGGATGACATCCCACATATGAAATGGAAAATAAAGCATCTTTGATACCACCAACCAGACAATCACTGTGGGATGATCATTCAAGTATAGCTGGTCTTGCAAAAGGGTCTTCATGCCGCGTCAAAAAAGGTGAAAACATGTGAAATCTGTGGTATGGTCATCAAAAACGATCACCAGGGATTCCATATAAATGGGGGTTTTCCATGAAATAAACCATCCAAATATTGGGGTACCCCCAATCTGAGGAATCCCCCATATGAAATTCTGTTGGGGGAACCCATGCCTTGACTTGTTTTGGCTGTTACATGCATAGTATATATATTATATATATAGAGAGAGAACTATCACCCATGTATGACACGCAAATAACCCAATATGATCAACGTTACCATATATATATATATGTATGTATACATATGTGAATATATATATATATATATATATTCAAATATGTATATATATTATATGTATGTATGTATGTATGTATAACATGTATGTAGATATATACATATATATATATATATACATAACCCAAATACATGCGCAATATCTATGTCTATATCCCAATATGATTAACAACCTGAATTCTATTGCCTATGGATGCCTTATGGATGCTAATGTGGTAAACCCAATGCCATTGGCACCATTCCATTCACCAACCATGACTGGGGTCATTGGGTGAATTCCACAATTAATAACCGTTATAACGGCCATTCAATGGCATTAATCCGACGTAAATCCAATATTTTTTTCCCAATGGTACTGTTGTATTGATAGGTTATGATATGATGGGTTTATCTTAGGCAATAAGAATCCATTAGGACAGGTTAATTGGATTTAGGATTTACCACCTTAATCATCCTTAATCTATTCCCTCATGGCCTACGTCAATCGCCAGCCTTCAGCCAGAATGTGCCCTTCTCAGGGGTCGGAGTGAAACCTGCGGTCTCTGAATTTCTCCGTGGCGAGCTTGCGACACAATAGGATTTCACCATCAAAATCAATGGAAAATGAGGCTTAAACTGCAGCGTCAAAACAGTGGACACAAATTGGATTCAACAACACTGTCATTTCACCATTAAAACCTTTCAGATAGTGGCAGTTTGAACCAGAAGAACCAAGGGTTACCGATAAAAACTTGGTTCTCTAATAATCCAAAATAGATTTCCTAATCTTAACCCAGAAAATTTGGGAATTGGCATGGCATGACAGAAAACCATAAGCTATGTAATGGTGCGACAACACACTATTTGAACACGATGTTCCTTGGTTTCAAGGTCCCCAATGTTTCCTGAATCCAAACCATTGCAGGGTAAACTCTGAGTTTTTTTGGTGTAACCGTGTCAAACTTCATTTCCAACACATTGGAATTCCCACAAACAAGTTGTTCATATCCTCCCGTTTCTGCACCATTCTCCGATTTTTGTAATGCTTGAATCCAACATTCCCCTTGGGGTCGCCCTTTTATGTTTGGAAAGGGCAAATTTTACGGGAATGTCCGGTTCATCTGCCACTAAACCACCAAATCAGCCCAAGTTTTAGGCACATCGCCTAGTTTTTGGGCGCCTTATCATTGTCCATGTTCAACCCCAAACTGATCAAATAGAGATCTCTAGCTCTGAACTTAATTTTAAGCCATGTCCAACCATCATTTATCACTTATATACATCCCCATACTTTCGATGATTCAATCCCCTATAGATGAAATGATGGTTACCCTCCGGTCACCGGTCACACTTTGCCATGGCATGCCATGGCCCATTTATTTTTCGATAAGTTTTACCTACTAAAACAGGTGATTTCTACAACAAAATCCCCCGTTTCCCTGATTTTCACTGCAAAATCGAGATGTAAAATTCCCCTGTTTTCCCAGATTCCCTGTAAAAATTATAGCCAAACAGGGTAAAAATCATAGTTTTCCCCAGTTTTCCGCTGAAAACCGCAGCAAATCCAAGCCCTGATCCCCTCCCCACCTCCGGAGACCTGGTCTGGCGAGGTCCGGGTCCCCCAGAAATGGCAGGTTTTCGTGGGAAAATGTAGGATGAATATGGAGAAAGAGTGTGGGAGCACAGATCATGTAGTTTTCATATGGAACATAATGTAATTATACATATACATATATATATATAATCCCTTCCTCCTAATACTAAACGTCCCCCTAATACTAAAAACAGGCATCCATCTCCAATTTCCGAAAATTTCAGTTTGGCCAATTTGACTTTTAATTGATCCCCTTTAAAAAACAATTTAAAAATCAACCTACCATTTGTGGGTTCTCCCCCCTAATACTAAAAACTAGTTCACCCCGGGGTGTTTAGTATTAGGGGGGCCTAGTCCCAATCCCTCACTCCAAGCTGCCTAGCTACTCTAGCAATTAGGGGTAAGCTTCTAACTGCCATTTTTGGCAATATTTTAATTGCGCTATATAAGGAAATTTAATTGATTTTTTGAGATCGGAAAAAATAGTTTTTAGTATTAAGGGTTTTAATTTAGTATTAGGGGTAAGCTTCGAACTGCCATTTTTGGCAATATTTTAAGCCATCATGAATAATTACTACATAATTATACACGAATGAATTGATTATATATATATATATACACTTATAATTATATACATAATTATGCATCTAATTAATTAATTAGAATTACTTAGAAATCTGTATAAAATGAATAATCCCTTCCTCCATTCTAATGCATGAATAACTAATTAACATGACTTCGATTTGGTTCCCTAATAATAAATACCCCCCTAATACTAAAAACTACCTGCCGTGTTTTGTATTTGGGGGGGGGGTTTAGTATTAGGAGGAAGGGATTATTAGGTGGTTGATCAAAATTCCTTTATCCCGGAACGGCCATTCTTCGCGAATAAAAATTTTACTTTCGCGAAACTTTCGCGAACTCCATGTTTATCTTTCGCGGGGCCATGTTGGCCAACAACACCTCTTATGAAGATTCGTTCACCACCTGCCAAATTACGCCAGAGAATCACAGATCACTTCTTGGTAGCCTTTTAAACATGCAGCTAGCATCACGGAATCCCTTCTCAGGACAGATTTTTTTTTGCAAAGTTTACTGGCCCACCCCCTTTAACATGCACTTTGACTTTCGCCCGCTCTTTCGCATAACTTTCGCGGAACTTTCGCGAAAATATCCCTATTCACAGACCCTGGCCATCAGCAGGGGGTGCACTGAAGGAAAAGCGAAGACCAGGGGCCTTGGTGTTTGGCTCTCGCAAAGCTTCACTTTTGGAAACTTGGCTACTGCTACTCGCATTCTCTGGTGCCCTTCTCCTGCCGGACCCCGGGCGGCAGTGGGTGGCAGCCCTTTACATATATAATGATTATAATACCCAACTTTCGCGAAACTTTCGCGAAATAAAAATTTACTTTTGCAAACTCGAAAAAAAACTTTCGCGAGGGTTTCCAACATAACATGCACGGCTTTCGCAATTAAAACTCCTTACGAGGACCTTTAGATCGATCACCATATACACATAAATATATACAATAATATTATATACATATGGAAAAATACATCGGTACATATCGGTACCCCATGGTACCCCGCAATAGGAGTTGAAGAAGCCTCTTGTCTTGGTTTGATGTTTTTTTTAACGCGTTACAAAGCCGAAAGTTACCAACCACATTGGTAGTTGCAGGGAGCATGATTGTTCATCCTCATATCCAACTTCCAGTCATGGTTCATATATGCATACCACTATTTAATGGCTGGATTTCCAATGTTGTCCCGGATAAAAAAGAAAGTTTTTTTTGTTTCTCAGTTTGTTGCGTATTGAGCGTAGGTCTGTTGTGTAACCACCAATTTTGGTGGTCCAAACCTTTGATGATTGAACTGAACTGAGCTGCTGTTTGTAACTGAACCAACCCATATCTACCAAACATCATATCACATGTTTCAAAAATTCAATCTATAACCAAAGAGGTTTGTCTGGAAAATAAGGTTCCAATGTTTTATCATCACTTTCCCCATTAGAATAACCTACGTAGCGGCATACACAATTTTCAGTACCACCCAGCTAGTTGCCCTCTGGTAATTTAAGATAGCTATGGAAAATGATCATGTTAATAGGCAAAGCATCTATAAATATCTGTAGTCCATAACCATGTTGAGTTGCCTTAAACCATTATACACCATCAATTTTTGGTCCACAAAGATTCATGTAATCTTTTGCTGGTCGGTTGCACCTCTGCACCAATGGGGTCCCAGGTCAACTGCGTGCCCACTGTGCCTGCCGTTGAAATCAGGGATCAAGGGTTGTCTATATCAAAAGTGATCCCAGAATCCGCCAGCCTATGCCGGCGTGTTTCCTGTGATGTGCTGTGATGATGGTTGTGTCAAAGTCTCCTCTGCGCGTATTTTTGTTTCGCCTGATTGTAACTACCCTATGACAATGGGTCAATATCCAATAGTAGAAATTGTTTGATCAATAATGGGTAGATGCCTGTAATATGCCATATTCGGGGGATGGACATCAATTTACGAATTCCGGCCTGTTTTGGGAATGGGGTTTTGACCCCTAGCCATACACTTGGTTGTAGTTGTACCCCTTCAATTTGTGGTTGTACCCCTCTTATTGTAGCTGGACAAACCCTAATCACTGTACGCGTAACTAAGGTTCTGGTTTACTTACTAACTTTTGTGAATCACAGCGAATGTACGAATGCGCCTACATGCTTGCAACACATTTATAAATCTCATATACAGATATATACAGTACTGTATATATACAGAGAGGATCAGAGAGGTATATCAATATCATTTGAAAACACACACACACATATATATATATATACATATGTACTTGAGTGTAAAACATGAATAATTACACATTTGAAAACAAATACAAACAAATACTAAGATGCTAGTATACATCAAATACGCGTGCGTGCGTGTGTGTGTGTGTGCGTGTGTCTCTGACGCCATCATCCGGATTGAACATGATCAGGTCACCAAAAATGAATATGAAGTATGATGAAATCATGTAAAATTACCCTCCAATAAATTAACATAGACCCTGCCAGATACGGGTCGGTAAATTAGTTTCCACTAAAAAATCATGATTTTCAGGGTCTATGTTAATTTACCAGAGGGTATATCAAAACAATCATGTCAAATTATTATATCAAACATGCAGGTTTCCTAAAACGTGGGTACCCCCAAGTCATTCATTCTAAAAAAAAAATCAATCATAAACCATTCAGCTATTGGGGTATCCCCATTTATGGAAACGCCCACATCATTAAATAACAACCCTGCATTGGCCGCGTTTGTTGCCCGCGTCTTTTGCCGCCTTCGTCGCTGGAGGCAAAACTCTCCACGTTCTCGGGGCTCTCATCTTCCGAGTCGGTGGACCTGAGCAAAGACATCGATCGGGATACCAAGCAATGTTCTATATATATATAAACATTATATCTGGGCAGATATTGGCCAGCCTGATATATTGGGCTATATTGGGATAATTCCTTTTACTAACACCATTATTCCAGTGAGTAGAAACCATTGTTTGTCATATAACCCGACCATGTTGTTAAATCTGCTGATAAAAGAATGTTATTCATCATTCATTCACGCATTGATAACATGATTCATCGTGTGGTTTTCATCATACTGTCTTGGAACCCCGTTTACCATAAACCATGTGCACCAGAAACCATTCACCAAGCATTTTGTTGGGGTCATTTTACGTCATTTTCCGTCATAGGGCTATTCCCGATGTCATTGAGTTTACCACCTTAGCCACATCCTTATTCCTTTTGAATGCTGTTGAATAAGTGATAATCAGAAAAACCAACAACCATGACATAAAGAGCAACACTTTACCCGTGATTATCAACCATACCGTATTCGCATTGGGACACACACACATTTATTTTATATATATATATACACAGTGTTTTATCATGTTTTTCGTAATATTGGGATATGATCGGAAATTGGGATATCAACCATTGCTAATGTTACTAACCTTTGCCATTGCTAATGTTACTAACCTTTGCCATCACCATGAACAGTAAATATTACTAATTATTAATCATCAAACATCAATAAGCCGATAGTGGTTAGCCATGTGCCCGCACATGAAACAAAAATATCAGTAAACGGTCAAATAATGAGCTGCAAATGGAATTTTAAGACATAGTGCAATCATGTTTTTGTGATTACACAATCTGGGATATCATAATGGCAAATTGATTGGTAATAATGGCCACTATTAAGTCACTATCGTCTTTTGGTATTTTTTTCGAACGACTACGTATAAAAAACTGTTTTGATAACTGGATGTGTCACTAGTTGTTTTTGATACTTCGTTATATGGAAAACACGGTACCGCTGGCCGTCTAGATCGACCAGGTCGTCCCCAAACTGGATTCCAAATGATCCCCAGCACAAGCTGCCGTTTCAGGCGCCTAATTGTTCTTTAGTAGATGTTTTTGTGGTTTCCATAGCAGAGGTATGTTTGCGCATGTATCTATCTATATATATATAAATATGTGTGTGTTTATAAACATACATACATGCATAAGTACGCATACAAACCATTACATACCAATGTTTATCGGCGTTTGAAGGCATCAGCAATATTTATTGAGTACGGTTTACCTTGAAGCATGAGTGGAATAAAACAAGTGATAAGCAAAAACTGGCATTGATCATAGCCAAACAACTAGTGAGTAAACGCACAAGGTTATGATTAAGCAACATGTGGGTTACAATTTTCAAATGATGCACGTATCAACTATCCAAATAATTCCTGGGAATTCAAAATCAACCAAAGGAAGAATGAACAGTATTTATTGGGGATCATGACGGGAACAATCCCCTTGATTCCTTTTCTTGGCGCAAATTAAACCTGCAAGTGGAACAGAGAAACCACTGACGACAGACATTGGATACGATCAAAAATTGAAGGGGTCTCAAGTAATTATCAAGGGGAAACATTTCCGCATATATTGTTAATTTAAGCCTAAGTAGATAGTAAAAGGACCCTTCCGAACGAAAAGGTCAGCATGTTGTGCTTTTTTGAACTTGGGATCATTATCCACATCCAAAGAATTTGGATACCTCACCACAAGAGGGCACACAGAAAGTTGCATCGGTTCAGCGCCTTCCTTCTCGGCATGACGGCCACCAGCAAGTCATCAACATAAACCAGAATCAAAATGAAACCCCTCGAGGTGGAAATTCCAAACAGCGTGCTTTCGAACGTCTCCGGTCCACCCATTTTCTGGAGCTCAAGACACCAAAGAAGTGGGGCCCTTCGCAAACCGTTCATTGAATATTGCGTTGTACAACAATACAGTGACCCTCAAACCATCAATGATCACGTCCGCTGTGAGGAGGTTCAAATCTCAGTGGGCACTGCCAGATCGCAGTTGAGGTCAGGCAGTGCCCATGTCAGAGAGATTGTCAGAATAGATGGCAGAAAGGATGCCAGAATATACGTCATATACAATGTCAAATAGAATGCAAAATAGAATGTCAAAGTATATGTCAGAATATATGTCAGGTAGAAAGTCACTTGGTGGGGATCACTTTCTCAGCAAGTATGTTTGTCCGGCAATAATGGAGACAACCCACATGCTGGTTAGCAATAAGAAAAAACAACACCTGATGTTATCGCGAATGTGTTGTGAACCAAAACAATCGACATGGAGGATTGGTCATCCCCTGCTATCTCTGTCTTTCTTGAATATGTTTCGTACACCACGATTCTGGCATAAAAAAAAAAAACATCCAAAAGTCGACACCGGTCACGTTCACTGGAGACTTGGATGTATAGTTCATAACCAATACTGGGATATACTGTGAATAAATAACCTCTGGCAATTTAACGAGACTATTGAACATGGCCCAGTCGAAATAGTTGATTTACCCATGAAAAATAGTGATGTTCCATATTTTTTGTAGGTTTACTAAATGGAAAATTATGAACATTTATGATATTTCTTTTCCACCATATCCTCCGGAGACTTGGGGATGATGAATCATCGAATTCCCATAGGACCTACGGTTTTTGGTCCCTTATGGGGCCGCTATTTTTTCTACACAGACAGAAAAGACAGCAACAAATTCCACATGTAACTGGGATGTGTTATGATATGGTATAAAAATTCTGTTATTACCCACTGATTTTTTGAGGTTTATTTTACACACAAAACAGTGACTTGCAGACGGGTGGTGAACTGGTGTGAACTGGGTGGCCCTACATATCCGCCCAGCTCTTCCTTTCAAAGCTCTTCCTCTCAAAGCTCTTCCTTTCAGGTGTCTCCATAGAGGCTTGAAACACCTTCTGCTCCAACTTGTTGGGAACGATCCTCAGCAAATGGATATCATCGGGATAAACATTGGATATTGGTGTGTATACAATTTTATATAATATATATATATACACACGTTATAAATAATGATATAACTTATAACCCGAAATATGAGTGGGCACCATTTGGACCTAGAACACTGGAGATCTTAGGAATCTTCCCTTGAAACCAGCATTGGGACGATATTTGGAAACCCAAGTTCAGGATTGGAAGTTGAGGGTTGAGGCATCCAGCTATACAAACACTGGGGGTACCCCAATAGCTGGATGGTTTATGGCAAATCAAATTAAAAAAATAAATAGATCCATACTGATTCAATGATCCATATTATATCGGCTGTGCTAAAGCATGATAAGGCGTGGTCTATCTGAGTAAGTTTGAAAGACTCCATGACTCCAGCTCTCTGAATGCCTCAGCGCTTCGACCACTGGCTTTATTTGTTTGCCACAATCTTTGGACAAATTCATGTCCTGGGTGATTTAATGTATAGAGTACTTGTATCCAGTTATGGGAATGAATGGTCAACGATAAAGTTAAAATCTATGTGTATATATATATATATGTATATATCCCATTATCATCCCGCTTTTACTGGCTCTGCCGCCGTGATTGTTGATTAACTATTCTCCTACTATATTCCTTTGATATATTCATATATATTCACTATTTATTAATTGCCAATCTTTAAACCCAATTCTTCTCTCACTGTGCAGCCTTATCCCCAGTTCAGTAGGACCTCCTCATAAAATCAACCCCCCAAAAAGCTTTCCATTAATTCAACAAATATCCCCATCAAATCGAGTATTCCATTAATTCAACAAATATCCCCATCAAATTGCGTATATCCGCATCAAATCACCAATGCAAAAAAGGCTCACCCTCCTGTAAATTAAGATGTTGGAAAAACATGGAAAAAACCACGAAAAAACACCATTTGTAGATCATGTTCTATTGAAAAATATAGGTTTTCCGCATTTTTCGTTGTGTTCCCCCAGACTTTTCCGAGCCACGGCTGCTCCACCGGCAACGGCGCCGGCTCCGGCCGCGGCAACGGCGCGAGGCGCTGCAAAGGGGGTTGGAGGCCCAAGGCGCTTGGCGGTGTGAAGGTTTTCTCACCAGGAAAAGCCTTCATCAAACCTGGCAGTTCAGCTGAACTGGGGGAACTGGAACGCGATTATCTTTGGACTTTTTCAGCTTCGGGAGAATAGGATATATCATGATATATCATATAGAGATTAATTAACATTTTCTGTAAGAATTAGCATGGATCTTGGGATGAAAAAAAAACTGCCCTTTGTTGCATTACTCACTTCAGTTTCGGGCAAAACCTGCTCTGGCGTCCAACTTCAAGAATTGTTCTCAACATGGAGTACACCGAGTACACCAACAAAATACTCTTTAGATTGGACGAATGATTTTCTAAGCCCCTTTATTTGTTTTTTGGCACCGCAACAAACTAATAATTACCCTCTGGTAAACTAACATAGTTATTGAAAATGGCCATAGAAATAGTGAGTTTTCCAATTAAAAAAGGGGATTGTTCATAGTCATGTAAACGTTTACCAGAGGGTAACAAAAGGTCGGATCCGACTCAAACAGCGATGAAACATACCTCGTAGCAGGCGAGGGAAGCAAATCACCGTCTCCACATCCCGAAGGACGTCTAGATTGCATACAACTAGAATCTAAAGATATGAAAACATATGGATATCATCATGTATCATGATGTATCTAAAGATTGATTTCACGAAAAATATTGTACTATGATAAAGGTTATACAATCTGATGCCTCGTTGATGCCCACCCTGACATATGATTTTAACATTCTGCCATCGCTCGCCACATGCTTTTTTTTTCTTGTCGGAAAATGGGCTCGATTTCCACTGGCCATTTGCTGGGTACACAGGTAGCCAAACATGCTAATTGAACATTACCTTTTTTAAAAATGATGTTCCCATTTTAAAAAAAAAAACTCCATTGATTTAGTGAGATTTTCTGGCCAGCCATGGAGCTGATGGCACCGTATATGGGTATTAAGGTATTAGCTATTCCCCAAGACTGGGATTGACGTGTATCTGGTTGGTGGTTGAGCCACCCCCATGATCCCAACTATTGGCGAAAAATAGAAATGTTCCAAACCACCAGCCAGGTATTCTATGAATCCGGATGAACATCTTCACAGGTGCTATCACCTTTTGTTTCATTCTTGGACCATAATCAGTCATTGGGTTTACCATGGTATACCCGGATTCATGCCCATACATATACACCATGATATATACTCAAAATACAGACTGACATGACAGGCACAGGTTTAAGATAAACAAAAAAACATATGCACATCTATGTATGACAGTCATAGACGCACACATTGCACAAACTATATTTGAATGTATGATACACAAAGACATAAAGCATAGCATACATGTATATATATATATATGTACAGTATATACAGGGTTGCCCTCTGGTTACCAAACATGCCACAGTTCGATAACTGGTTGGTGGTTTCAAGCCCTCTGGGAAATATTACTGTAGTCAGTTGGGATTATGAAATTCCCAACTGAATGGAAAAACATGTTCCAAACCACCAACCAAATAACTTTCCCATTCACAACCTATCTTTCCTATCCACCAAACATCCACCTGGCGCACTCGTCACGAGATGTCCAACCGGTGCCTTTCTTTTCGTAGCGCCGGCGCATAATGGCCGCTGTGCGGGGATTGCCACCTGGCAGTTGACCAAAAATTGGTGACGCAATGAACCATTTGGTGGGTATATGAACTATGTTAATATGATTTAATATGTTAATATGTTAATATGTAGATAAAACTCATGAACCAATAAATTCTTGGATATATGTTTAGATTGTAGATTATTGATTAAAGAACTCATGAATATGAGAATATATGATATAATATGGGGAATCAAGCAAGACAAATGAACATTTGACCATCCCAGGAACTAGTTGCTCATGGCAAAGGCCGTCAAGAGAAGGCTGGCCAGCCATGGTAGTGAAGGGAACCAACAATTCGATGTTGATTTCCAATGTACAGATGTATAACCGGCCTGAATTCCTGATGTGTTTTGTCTATTTTTGGTGGGTCAGCAGAATGTGTTGGAATAACTTGAAAGAGCAGAAATTATTAGGATTGCCAAAGTTTTCCAAAGTGTCAACTTTGGTTGAGGATTGTTTCCAAATTATTTGGAATAGCTGTTGGGATTTCCAAAGTTTTCCAAAGTGTCAAGAGCCAACAGTTGTGGATTGTTGTGTCAGCTCAGGGTGCCGAATTTTGGAGGCAACCGGAAAGGCATAAATTGACACTACCAACAAAAAAAGACATGGTGCTATGAAGCTTCCTGAAATGGGGGTACCCCCTAAATCATCCATTTTAGATTGGGATTTTCCATTATAAAAAATCCAGGTCCCCCCATTCCAGGAAACGTCCATATCTACATTGAGATCCCAAATGATCCCAAGGAAACGCGCTTCTTATCCTGCAACATGGTGGGGGTGTATCCCAGATTCTCACCGCCTTCCAAAACATCGCAGAGATTCTCCACGTCATTGTCCAAACCTTGAAATCACCGGTCTGAGTAACCTCTGGTAAACATACAAAAAACAATGGAAAATCACCATTTTGAATGGGATCAACTATTTCTATGGGCCATTTTCAATAGCTATGTTAGTACTGTTAGTCATTACCAGACGGTAACCCGGATGTTCTACAGGGACTTTTAGTAGCAAGCAGGTTCTACCGTTCTACCATTCAACATGCAGAAGTAGTACCTCAGGTTTCGCGGAGGATGGGGAAGATCTACTAATCTACTCAGTAAGCATGAAACATAATTGCTGATTCAGTCATTTAATACATGGTGAGCCAAGTTTTGGTGGTACTGTAACATGTGGTAACCTCGTAAATTGTTGAGTCAATTCATTTACACCAGATTAGTTGTTGAACTAAACAAAACTGTCCGAGTCAGTTCAGTTCATCTTCAGATATGTGGAATATGTCACTCAACCATGCCTAAAATACACCCTCCATTTCAACTGAGCAGCTCAAAATGGTCAATTTCCGGTTTCAAAATCATAGCTAAAATTCGTCCAACCGAAGTTTTTGGGGTTACACCAGGTTGTCTTTTTTGTTGTTTTGGCCGGAAAAAACGATCCCCGGAATCATTGCTTTTGTCTCCACCATGTTGGGAAGAACATCCCATTTCTTGGCGTTGGAATCTTTGATCTGACTAGATATGTCACTGTTTGGTGGTTGGCCTACCCCTCTGAAAAATATGAAAGTCAGTTGGGATGATTCTTCTCAATATATGGAAGAATAAAAAATGTTCCAAACCACCAACCAGGCCATATTCCTACCTGGTTGCTGGTGGTATACCTACCCCTCTGAACAAATGATGGAGTGAAAGTCAGTTGGGATGATGACGTTCTCAACTGAATGGAAAGTCATAAGATTCATATTCCAAACCACCAACCAGCTATAGCGATATCCTCCAAAAACCCAACAGTTCACCAAGTTTTACCTTCCCAAAGGGGCTGCCGATGAAGAACTCATATTTCTACATATCCTACGTAGAGTCCCAGAGTAGTAGACTCATGATGATTCAGGTAGCTTCCAAGGTTTGTTGGTTCAATGCGCTGCACAGGAGTCATCCCCATGTTGGTCCCGTTGCTGCATCAGACAAGTTCATAAATTTCTCCCATCCCAGTCTGGTTGGTGGTGCAATAACCATCTTGAAAAATATGAGTTCGTGAATGGGAAGGATGACATCCCATATATGAAATGGGAAAAATGAAACCACCAACCAGCAGTAACTAAGTGAACATCCAATCGCTAGTAAAGGGATGTTCATCCCCCAAGTAACGTAACAATAGGTTTTGAGTTTTGACCCATCACCAAATATCATTTACCTCTTGGTGTTATTAACGGGAGTGGTCTATGTTGAATGGTCAAGTACATGGGAACATGTGTAGATAACCCCCCAGGATTTGGGGAGTTAAACCATACGGACTTTTCGATTTAAACACTTTGAAACTCATCATCACTTATCATTTTTACTTCAAGCAATTGAGAACATGTAGACAACCCCAGGGATCTTGGGAGTTAAACCATACGGAATTTTCAATTAAAAAAACTTTAAAACTAATCATCACTTATCATTTATACTTCAACATGGTTGATGTCTAAGACTCTTCTAATGGATGCTTAAAACAAGCAACCCCAGCTACCATCTGGTAATCAAACGTGGTTTCCTGTAAAAGACCAGCATATAGTCAAATTTATTTCTCTCCTTGTCCCATGAAAAAACCTCCATGTATTTCCATGGATTTTCCAGCAAGCTACGTTGGATTCCCAGGGTTTTCGCGTGAAGAACCTGCCACCAAGTCTCTGGGCAGTTCATCCATGCCATCATTGAACTCCACCCGCCTCTCCCTGGAGCTCCACGACTCCACAAGAGCTCCACAATCAGAACGGGGTGTCTGAACATGGGGAATACCCATAAATCATGGAATATGTATGAGATATTCATGAATATATATATATATATGTATATATATATATGTGATATATAGAAGATATATACATATATATATAGATAGATGATATATAGATGACATAACTGTCCACTTTTAATCTCATCCCTCTTATATTAAATAAACACCACCTTCCCAATATGTCCCTATTATGTGGAAATTCCTTACTAAACCATGGTGTCTAAGGGGGTGTTTAATATTAGGGGAATGGGATTAATAGGGAACATGATAAGAATCCATTGGGGTTGGAGGTACGAGATTTTCAGACCAACCCATTTCCATCATGCTTGGATTTGTTGAACAATTAAAATGGGACCTTAAACATCCTTACACACTCAAAAACATCATCGTGGACCAATGGGAAAACACTCATCTCACCAGCAAATCTATCCCATAATGGCAATAAGATTGATGATCATCCCTGATCTGCGGAAGGGGGAAACGACCAAAAGTCCCAGAAAAGCTGCGGGTGCTTCTGCAATTCTGCTCAAGTCGATGGGACATGGTCAGCGAGAAAGTAGCGGGTGATCCCAGTTTTGAGGGATCAAAACCGCTGTGGTAGTTGCTGTTGGTGGTTAACAATAAACCCTGAGGGGGAGCCATTTTTGTTGAGTTTTTGTTGATGAATTCAAAACCGCCACCCGATTCAGACTATCCCCAATCCCCATGTGTTTTTCACAGGGTCACCTGACTGAGGGGGCTGGTGAGATCTCCATCACCTCTGAGATGTATCTGGCTATAGCTGCCATCATATTTTACAAGGTGGTGCCCCCGTTCGATAGCTGAGTTGGTGCCAATAACTCCAATTTCACTATGGTTTCTAGGTGATATATCTATATATATAGTTTTCATGGGCTTATAACTAATTTATAACTCGGGGGGCACCACCTTGTACTGAGACTTCGGTAACCATGGAATAATCCCCTCTACTGAATGTCCTGCAGATGTCTTTTAGGATTTCGACTTGACCTCGTCCATTGGGAAATTATTGCTAATCCTAGTTATATCCAATCCCCTTTCATATCCATGTACTGATAGTATTCATCTGAAGAACTTCCAAACCATGTTTGATTATCTCCCCCTTTTTGCTGCTAAGAACCCTCTGTTGCATCCATTGAATTATGGAAATCTCTCCGTCGGAAACAACTGTTCATGGCAATCCTGATGGTTGACTCAAACTCAGTAAACAATCCCCATGTTTACTCAGATTTTGCTGGATTTCCCGTCGGCCCGTTGCTTTACCCAAAGCTTGGAGAAATTCCCATGAAATCCCCGGGCAAACCCGCTCAGTTTCTCGCCTTTCGATGGTCGACATGGAGTCGGCTCCTGACATCCGACGGTAGACTAGAGATGTATTGGAGACTGAAACATAGTGTAAAAATATCAATTTGTGGATCTATATATGGATATTGGCAAATATCTGTGTGGAGCATGATCGATATTTAAGGTACATGTGCCATACACACACATGATTATTTAGATATTTATAAAATGATCCATGATCCACATTTTGTTTTGCAATCATCCATGAATGCGTCTGCAAACATAATTGATATAATATAGATTAATATAGTAATAACAATAGCAATAGTACGTAACCATAGTTATCCACGTCTGTATAAATGTATACCTGCACCATCCAAAAGACAAGGTTTCGCAACAAAGGACGATTTGTAGAAAAAAACAATTCGGACAAAACATGCCTCAGGGAGAACAGTCTGTCTATTATATTTCTAACCCTCTCCAAAGATCAAATGCAAAGCTGAAAGACAAGAATCGGGACGAATGCCAGCGTACTTACTCCAGAAGTTGCAGATCGTACAACCCCCGTTGCAAATACTTGCTTCTCATTCAGTTTCTCTTTGGCTACGTACAGGTTTGTCTCAAATGGAAAGGTGGTGTTTCTGTTGGTCATTTGAGGCTTGCAGAAAACATAGTCCAACAACGAACGCTAAAAATTCACAATTTGGACACAACAAATCGCCGTTTGGACGGCCAAAATCAGCGTTTCTTTTTCAAAACCTTCCGCTTCACCTCTGCCTGAATATAGACTTGGTGGCCCTGCAAACTGACTACTGAAGACATTAGTCAACTTATACAGTGATGTATGCCAAAAAAAAGGAAGTTGACGGCACTGACCAGGTCACATGCAATAAGAGAACTGCATGGAACCATTGAGCAAATCATGGCACCTCTACTTGTTCCAAGATTCACCAGTTCCATCCAAACTCACCAAACCAGGGTCACCCTAGAGCCTAAGTGCCTTAAAAACATGTTATATACCAATTTTTGGAAAAATGGCGGGTGGCATCACACAAATATTTCAAGATCACAGTGTTCCCAATTTTTTGGGAACAATACGTTTCCAAAAGGTGCAAAAATCTTTGGTGTCTTCTTCACTTTCCGTACCTGCTTACTTTTCTTGGGCGACACCTCCGAATGGTTGCAACACATGGGTTTGAAGGCTTGTGTGCTAAGATCCTGCGCAGATTTCAATGCTGTTCAATGAGATGCATTTTAATTATCGCGGAAACTTGCGGGAATATTGCGGAAATATACACGGGAATATCGCGGACATGTTTTTTGCATGTTTTCAAATATGCTCACCTCAACCCGAAATTTCAGTATGATGCGTGCTAGTTCTGCTAAGAACCAGCCTAAGATTTGAGGAAATGAGTTGATGCGATTGGACAGGGTTCTGCGAACAGCAGGGTCAACATGCCACATCGCACGTTTGACATAATTTTATAGCAGTTTTCAGGTTCCATGGCATACCAAGATGTGCTTATCGCATGCACATTCCGCGCGAATTTCACAGGACAATTCGCACAAAAAATACGCCTTTTTGTCAGAAATTACTTTACTTCGTGTGATCCCACCGTGACATTTTTACATTTTCTTACTGGCAAATCTTCTGGCATTCTATCTGACATATCTTTTGGCATTCTATCTGGCAAATCTTCTGGCATTCTATCTGGCATATCTTCTGGCATTCTATCTGACATATCTTCTGGCATTCTATCTGGCATATCTTCTGGCATATATTCTGACATATCTTCCGGCATTCTATCTGGCATATCTTCTGGTATATCTTCTGGCATATCTTCTGGCATATCTTCTGGCATTCTATCTGGCATATCTTCTGGCATATCTTCTGACATATTATCTGGCAAATCTTCTGGGATTCTATCTGGCATATCTTCTGGCAGATGTTCTGGCATATCTTTTGGCATTCTATCTGGCATATTATCTGGCAAATCTTCTGGGATTCTATCTGGCATATCTTGTGTCATTCTATCTGACATTTTCTCTGGCATACCTTCTGGCATTCTATCTGGCATATCTCATGGCATTTTATCCTGCATATCTTCTGGCATTCTATCTGACATTCCATCTGGCATATCTTCTGGCATTCTATCTGGCATATCTCATGAGGTCCGGCAGGGAACACTTGGCGTGGATACTCGCGGTTGAGGTCCGGCAGGGAACACTGGGCGTGGATGGTCGTGGTTGAGGTCCGGCAGGGACCACTGGGCGGGGATACTCGCGGTTGAGGTCCGGCAGGGAACACTGGGCGTGGATGGTCGTGGTTGAGGTCCGGCAGGGAACACTGGGCGGGGATGGTCGTGGTTGAGGTCCGGCAGGGAACACTGAGCATGGATGGTCGTGGTTGAGGTCCGACAGAGAACACTGTGGATCGCGGGTCGCAGTTGGACGAGGAGGACGAGGAGGAGGACGACGAGGAGGAGGAGGAGAGGAGGAGGAGATGAGGAGGAGATGAGGAGGAGAGGAGAGGAGCAGGCAACTGACATAAAATCTAACAACCCTCACCTGGCAGGTGGGGAAAAACACATATGGATATGTTCCGCATCGATGGTCAATCATTATCATCCATCCAATTTTTCAAAATTTGTTACGACCATGGATTTCCAATCACTTAACCCTGCAACAACACCATCATCATCATCATCGTCATCATCATCATCATCATCAACCATACTTTCCCGTCAAAAGTTTGGGTTTCCAGCAGTCGATGTGAAATTGCCAGAGAGTATAGAACAACCATCATAGATCATTTGGAGGTGTAGAGGAAATGGCCGCTAGGAAACGTCGACTTCAGAATCTCGGATTTTGATATTGAATGAGTTGTCTGAGACTCAATATGAGTATATGTTTGGGGTAAACGGTGCTATCATCATGTTAGTGGTTAAACAACCTATATTTGAGTCCTTTTGAGTTCACCCTGAGACCGTTAGAGCTGCACTTGAGCCTTTTTGACATGATCGCACTCTTGGGCGCTAAAAAGGTAAATGAGGAAAACCGACCGACTTCGAAAGATTTTGAGATAATTTATGTTGCCCAAAAAATAACAATGAAAAAACAATTTGAAAAAATTGAGGTGGTTTGAGAAACAATTGAACCATTTTGGTTCCATTTGGCTGAAATTGACGCCTTTTGAGAGACTGGTCAATTCACAACAAAAACTTGCAATTGAGACAGTTTGTTTTAAACATTTGAGTTTTTGTTCTTTTTTGTTGTTGGCTATTTGGTAATGTCTTGGCATCAAGTTTGAGACATCTCCAATCAGCCACTTCTTTCATTCCAGCGACCTGTTCTGAGCCAGCTAAGCTGCACACAGAGAGCGTGCCAGCGTGCGACACATTTTGAGATTTCAACGTCCGAAAATGGCCTCTCAGTTTCTTTCAAAAAATGGCCGAGAAGATTCTGTCAATTTTGGTTTGTTTCGAGTCGTGTTTGAATGCAGTGTGAGCATGTTTGAAGCCTTTTGAATGTTTTTGAGGCGCAAAAAATACTCAAAATTTTGGATGTCCTAAACGCAATTTGGCCTCCCCTCCCATTTTGTCTCTGAAACCAGTTTTTGAGGCAGAAGAAACACACTGCTTTGTTGATCTCTCCCCGACTAAGCCTCAGCTTCCTTGTCATGATTCGTTTTGGCTTGGTTTGCGGTAAAGCAAACCAAAGAACAATCTATTTGACATGGCGAACTTAGACAGCCAGCAACATAAATAGAACTTTAGCTGATTAGTAATTAGGCTGATTATACCATGATATATCCACACCTGTAGCAGCACGTCAAAGATTTGAAAGTACTAAGCTATTTGAAACCACGGATGACCAAGTTGATTAGAACAAAAGAAAAATAACCTTCACACCAGCACATTACCCGCAAAAAACTTGCTGTATGAGACTGGATCTGTTCATTCAAATCACCATCATCTGTGGCAGGGAGCGTTCCATTTCCCAAGTCAATTAAACAAATGAAGCCATAATACTTATATAATAGTATATGTCTACATATTATTGTAGAATATAATGGAATATGTCTTATATATATATATAAATTCAAACTGATTTCACTGAGAATCAATTTCACTTTGGTCCCCTTCTTATTTATACTATTGTTCCAAAATGTCCAAACTTTCCAAGTACAATCTTTGCTTATATACATATAATTACATATATATATATATAATATTTGAGTATTCATCCCAGAAATGTCCAACTATTGGCAGAAGAAATGGCGCAAAAGCCTTGGGACCCTTGCATTCTTGATTCAATGATGATTTATTTATTAAACTTGTGATTGTCCAATGATTAATGATGATTTACCTTTCTAAACTTGTGATTTTCATTTAAACTCATTGATTTTCCATTCCCATGTTTGATGACACCAATGCAAATGTAACAACTTCAGTTCACCCACGCTTCGCACATGTCCCACTGCACTTCGCCAGGCCTGTGGTCTCAAAAGGGCCTTTTTCGGCTGCCGGGGGCGCTCTGAGTTTCAGTATCTGGCGATGTTGGGCGCTGCTGAACTTCTGGGCGCAAAGAAAAATTGCAGTTTCTGAACTTTCAGACTGAAGCAAAAAGTCGCGGCGAGATCCGTTTGGAGGAAAACCGTTCCGCGGAAGAATTTCATCATGGGATGAATTCCTGTTGTAAATATGGTGATATAACTAAACTGTTGTCCATCAACAGTAGGGACATATTCGATTGAAAATACGCCTGTTAATGAACCAATATTGCATATATTCTGCATAGATCTGCATAGATCTACATAGTATGCGTAAAGTATTCCATTATTTAAAATAAACAAAAACAACATGTAAAAATACAATGCCAACGCAATGAGATTCCATTGATTCACGGCCGCAAGACTGTAGCCCATGTTGAGGATCTTGGAGGAGAATCCCCTGCCTTACCGTTATGTATCTTCCATTATCTGGTTGGTGGTGCAATAACCATCTTGAAAAATATGAGTTTGTCAATGGGAAGGATGACATCCCATATATGATGGAAAATAAAAAATGATTGAAATCACCAACCAGATATGATCTGGGCATGTTTTCGAAATCATCGAAATTCCCGATTCAAAATTGTTGGGACAAATATGCACAAATTCGACCCTCCTGTAGACGAACATAGATGTGGAAAACCTCCCATTCGTAGATTATTTTCCCACGGAAGCCATGGGTTTTCCACATTTGTTTAAACGTTTACCCCATGGTAAACCCCAAGGGGTTGATCAACATATTAACCAATGTTAACAATGTTTGGGTTATCCGTATTAGACAAAACCAACGATTTAAACCATAAACCTCCATAAGCCAGATACTTAAACCATTTTTAATAAACCACATACCACACCATGCATGGTCGCTATGCTCCCGATGTTCTTCGCGACTCCTTGGGCTGACGACCTGTCGTGATTCAACCCAAGAAAGGGATCGACCTGACAAATCAAACTGTGATTTTTAATCAGTTTAATCATCATTTGCCCATATGTTCCCTTCAGAATGGCCATTTCGGGTTGTACCATGTTATACCATGGTATACATCCATTTTCAGACACGCTCACACTGAATCAAAAGATATCAAAGTCACAAGAGCTGGAGCAACCAGCAACGGGACTGACCCAGATTGGGATTTGACCAAACAACATTCCGAAGCATGATATCGTCCTATCCTTTAGCAATCCTTTAGCAAATTAAACTGCCGCGCTTTCGCGAACCTTTCGCGCCCAAACAGAATCGGGACATGGGATTATGACCAGGTTTTCTGTTTTCTATAGGTTTATAAATCGTGGTATTCAGACCTTTCGCGAACCTTACGCCGCCCTTTCGCGGCCTTTCGCAACTGCAGCAAAACATACACATCCATATCTGCAGATGTCACTCGGATACTAAAAGCCTTGCATGGGTTTTCGGACGACCCCCAGTTAACGTGCTGAGGCGCTCTTTAAACAAAAACACAATTTCTCGTGTAGATATCCCGGATTGGTCGTTTAACATAATTTAACATGTGTGCAGAATCCCAACTCGTAAGAAAAAATGGAAAATCAGCATCGATTTGGCATATCTGTGCAGGATTGACGTTTTGAAACTGACTTGTAGTCATTGTAGTCCATGAACTTCACTGGAAAAATTGCCAACCATTGACAATCTTCCAGGTTGAACGGGGTTCTGTGGTCTTTTGGTCTTTTGCAGCTGGACGCTTTCTGGCCGCAGCAGGGCGTTTGGCCCGAAATTGTTTGAGGCGTTGCGGCTCTTTTTGGCGAGCTTTTTCCATGGGAAGCTCTGCTTTCTTCCTTCCATCTTCTGCCCACGCTACCCATTCCTCCGGCGCCCAAAGCCCGCAACCAATTCGACGCGCCAAGCCATGGCTGCTGAGCATCTGTCTCGCCGTTGGCGAATGCAGGGCAGAATTGTGCGCCAACAGCTTAGAAAGGGCAAGGATGTTCAGCTTCAGTTTCAGTGTTGCAGGATGTAGGTTTTGCGTCTGCCGAAACCATCCATTGATCTCCGTATGCAATCTTTCATTGCTTGCACGCGGGCTCGCGTGCACAGTCGCCCGTGTCTTTCCAAAGAGAAGTAAGGGACGCGATTTGGTGAGGTCAAAAAAGGATTGCAGGTGTTAAGTTAAGCACGACTCATGCTTGGACCATGTTCCGCGAAGTAATAGGTCACCAGTGCATTATGCGGTTGCAGCCAGTGTCGCTATTTACATCAACTGCGCAGCATCTTGGCTCAGAAAAATTGAGTGCAGGCCGAAATCAAACCTAGCGGAAGGTACACCAATGCGTCACAAGTATTGCATACCTATACATAGCTATAAAGCTCTGGCGACGACGGTAACATGTCTGCCAGCCAATCTGAGCATGATAACTTTAAGGTCGTAGGGGCACCAGGATCACTTAGAACCACAAGATTGGGATCACTTACAACCACCGGATCACTTAGAACCAAAAAGCATCACTTAGAACCACCAAATTAGGATCACCAGAACAACCAGTCCAGATGTTGATGGTTGAGGCTGCTATAACCAGCATTGTGGAATGAGACCTTTGGGGTAACGCTTGGGGACACGGGGCTGGGACATGGGGTTGGTTTAGGGGACAAGTGGGGACATGGGGCTGTGACATGGGGTGGGTTTACGGGACAAGCACGGTGGAATGAGACCTTTAGGGTAACACTTGGGGGCACGGGGCTGGGACACGGGGTGGGTTTAGGGGACAAGTGGGGACACGGGGCTGGGACATGGGGTGGGTTTCAGCATGGTGGAATGAGACCTTTAGGGTAACACTTGGGGACACGGGGCTGGGACATGGGGTGGGTTTAGGGGACTATTGGGGACACTGGGCTGGGATATGGGGTGGGTTTAGGGGACCGGCACGGTGGAATGAGACCTTTAGGGTAAAACCTGGGGGCACGGGCTGGGACATGGGGTGGGTTTAGGGGACAAGTGGGGACATGGGGCTGTGACATGGGGTGGGTTTACGGGACAAGCACGGTGGAATGAGACCTTTAGGGTAACACTTGGGGGCACTGGGCTGGGACATGGGGTGGGTTTAGGGGACAAGTGGGGACACGGGGCTGGGACATGGGGTGGGTTTCAGCATGGTGGAATGAGACCTTTAGGGTAGCACTTGGGGACATGGGGCTGGGACATGGGGTGGGTTTAGGGGACAATTGGGGACACTGGGCTGGGACATGGGGTGGGTTTAGGGGACAAGTGGGGACACGGGGCTGGGACATGTGGTGGGTTTCAGCATGGTGGAATGAGACCTTTCAGCATGGTAGCATGATGATGATGATGATGATGATGATGTTGATGATGATGATTATTATTATTATGATGGTGATGATTATGATGGTGATGATGATGATGGTGATGATTATGATGATGGTGATGATGATTGTGATGATTGTGATGATGATGATGATGATGGTGATGATGATGTTGATGATGATGATGATGCTGATGATGATCGTGATTGCAGGGTGGTTCTAAGCGATCCAAATGCCGTGGTTCCAAGCGATCCCGCGACCAACTTTTAGGAGACCGGTCGGGCGCCGGACAGGGTGCAAAGATTGAAATGGCACAGGCAGAGAAGCATGGTTTTGAGTAGAAGACACCTATACAAATTCTCCGGAGAAACAACCATAGCAAGCATCTGCATGGCCATTCCCATGATGAATGCCCAGGCTAGGCCAGGCGCTGACATGCCAGGGACTGCGTGCATCACATGCAATATCATGTTATAACCTGGAGAGGTTAATGGGGCATCGTAGATCTGCATGATGAAAAATGCCTCCTTTACCGGATATAGTTTCGGCCACGTCTGGCGAAAGATGATTTCATTGAAAACGTTCCCACGCTTCCTCCCGACTCTTGTGAAGTCGCCGGCTTTGGACGTAAGACAATCTTCTTAATGAAAAACCTTTCATAGGTAGCTTGGAAGGAACTGATATTGAAGCCCAACCTTGCTGATCCATACTGGAAACCAAACCTGCCCCTGGTATCCGGCTTCCTGTGGAGTCCTCTGATGCTGGAGGGCCAGCCTGCACAGAACCAGACTAGATTCATATGGTGCGTATTGCTATATCCAGAAAAAGAATAAAATATAGCGTCGAGTTGTCAAGAGAAATCGTGCGAAGAGAAAGAGAATAAGCAAATACTGATTCAGCATGGGTCGGCTGTCCCATCATAAGCTGCCCCGTTGGACAAATGTCTTGGCAGTCCTTCTATAGGCACAGTTCTGCTCTTCCCAATAGGGTCTTACCTTTTGTGAGTGGTTGGATCAACTGATCTACTGCGTCCTGTGTTACAGAGACAACTTGACAACCAAAGAATAGTCTTGCTCGAGCCATTGTATCAGAAGGCAAGCAGGCTGAGGACAGTTTTGGTGCTGACTGGCTATGGCTGACTGGTGCAGTTGCATTCCTGCAGCTGGCTGCCATGTGTGCAGTCCGCTAGGTTCAAGGCAGCTTCGGTACCCACTGGCTACAACTGGTTTGTGCAGTTACATTCTGACAAGGTTGAGACTTAAAGGCTTGACTATTCAAAGACAAAAGAAGGAAGCAGCGTGTTAGTAGCATTGAGGCTACAACTGGCGCCCAATATCTACATATATTATATACAGTTTTGAATTTGTAGTTTGTCTATAATTACATGTTTCTGTCCACCAACTTTGGGATAACAATGCTTTACAACTATTTCGGTGATTTACGGTTTACTCGAAGCAGATGGTTCAACATGTCAACACATCATTTCAATTTCCCATTTTTTCAAAAGGCACGTTTTCAACTTCAAGATGGTGTGAACACTATGTCTACGTTCTGCGCTTATAAGCTGATTGATTAAAAGAAAACAACTAACATAGAACCAACGGCTGTTTCGTTGCTTAGTATCATTCCAAGATCAATCCCATGGCCCAGTAGAATCGACTTTATGCGGGACATGCCCGAGCGAAGAGAAAAATGGAAGGGCGGATGCTGTGATGCTGTGCACAAATGAAAATAAGATAGTTTCAACATGCATATACCAATCAAGAAACTATAAGTATAGCATGGTATACCAATCAAGAAACCAAGTAAATTATACCATATACCTATGAATATACCAATAAGATTGGTTTAATGCTGGCAAGAAGCAGAATAGCATTATACCAATTATATATTCCCTGCCACGGGGGGAGGGATCCTTTGGGGATGGGGGGGGAAGCCGCGCTCACCCACAGCGCGCAGAAAAATGACATTTCATAACAAATGGATTGGAAGAGTTAACTGATATCAACATATCTCCCAAATATATCAAATAAACCTAATGATAAATTTCAAAATAAACCTCATGATGAGATGGATGGATCTCATTCGCCATGTTTTGTCTATCGTTCACAAAAAAACCGACCCGGTGACGCCTGGCGATCGAAACTGCCATGGCATCGTGCCGTCGCCGGCAACCCGGAAAGGGACTCTGTGAGTCTATAGCCAGACATTTATGTTACAGACTGATACATATATGAAATAGTATGTTTATATGACACTAATATATAATCAATATGTGTATATATATATATACATATCTACACTATATACTACATATTACATAAATATACTGATTATACTAGTACAATTTGATTCAATATATGTACCTATTGGATTGTATTGTACCCAACCCAACAGCACGTGCCAAGGTTTCAGGCTTCAAGGGTTGCAGTTCCGTTCCAGGTTTTTAGGCCCGGCAGACAGTGTTAAACAACGAAGTACCACTCCCAAACCCAGAAATTAAGACCCGACAGTCATTGGTGTTGGGAAGAAATTGATAACCTTTCTTTCTCTTTACATTTTTTACGCTCTCATTATTTAACATATAGCTTTTCACAAAATCATGATTAATTCATCAATGACCATTGTCCATAGCAAATTGTAACAGATCACCAGAGGGTAAATTGAAGTCCTCAACATGGGTCACTGGATCTCTGCACTCCATTTTCAAAAGACGTTTGAAAGGGATTCCCATCAACTTATTAAAATACCACCTATATATACCCATATATGTGCGAGCATAATCCCCTTGAATTGTCAACCCAAAGTGGCTTTACACATTGTTCATTTGCCGACCAGAAAAAGGTTGAAACATCGACGATTTTACTTACCCATTCAAATCTAGCGTCTATATATATATATATATGTTTCCTGCTGCCCACATTGACCTTAGCAATCCTGTTCCCATTCGGCATTGCTAAGGATAATCTATGATCCCCTGTTCGGTTCTGGTTCTGTTGGGATGAATCCTCCACTGGCATCAACAGATGGTGAATTCCATGGCAACAACACGAGATCTCTCCACACAAAATGGTGGCTTCATCATCCACTTTCAAAGCATCAACCATTTTGACTTCGAGACATTGGGATTCTCATGGGATTTGAGTTTTAAATTTACCATCCATTTCCCATGGGTCACCATTTCACGTTTTTTTTGCGACAGTTCTATTTTCAAAACCGCCAAGTGTCCGCCGCCACCAGCGGGTTCCACATCCGACAGCGATGTCATTGATTGGGGATCATCGCAGGCCTATCTTTTTAAATGACACCAATACCTACATGAGTGATGAAACCCCCATATGACCTTATAAAAAACATAATCCAAAATCAATTTCCATTCATTGATGGCTGAATCATGTCAAATCCAGATTTTTGCAGTTTGATTCCACACTTTTAAGGCAAGCAAAAATATGAGGGACCTTGATGATGTGATTTCGAATCACTCGATTTTATCTGCTGAAATGTTCCTGGTCAAATCTCTGAAATTTATTTGTTTTCTTGCATACACCCGTTCTCTATTGTTGATTATATAAATTTCCATGTGTGTTTAAAACCCCAAACAAAATC